GGTAGTCTATAGGAAACAAAATACCATTATATTCATTCTAATAAGACCTATCAAGTAGCCTGACAGCTACTTCCTAGTCTGAGCTACTGAGAGAGCTTAATACAGATCTTAATTCCTTCTGCTTTATTACTCACATTTTGATTCCATAATCCCTCTGGGACAAATTAAAGAAGGTTAAGTTGGTTTCTCAGAAGTCAAAATCCTTAGATGACATAATCAAAAAACAGTTCAGTTACAATATTAGATTCTTTATATTTTGGGCTTCCTCCTAGATTGAGCTTGGAGCTCACTTTAATAAAGGTATACTCTGCAATCACCTCTTCCTTTTCTCTTTGATTAGAATATACTTCTTTTTTCTCTAGCTCAGTGATAAAGCATTTCAGTAAACGTATAATGTCTTCCAATATCATTCAACTTTTCATCTGAAAATTATCTTTTTCCCCCCATCTATATTAATGGCAAAACTATTCAAGCCCATGACTGCTGCCCTTTTGGACTCACAAATGGTGATTCTTATTTGATTTAATGGTGCAATAAACATTTCATGTTACTCAAGATGATCAATTCAGTCAAGGTTTTGCCTATGTATACAATTAGAACTCACCAAGCTTCTAAAATATCAGCAAGAGAAAGAATCAGATGATAAAGTAATTGTCAGTGCTGAAGTTGGCCTGACTGAGGCCATTTTGAGACTTCAGCGCTGACACACTGGAGAAGAGGGACAGGGACTGGGGAATAGAGATAGTTGGGGTATTATAGTCAAAACAAAATACTTCTCTTGGGAACTAAGGGCATTCCTGCAAGTGCTCAGAAGGAGGGGCCTGGAATCACTTAGCAACTGGGCAGAATCCTGATTGAACCAAGTGACTAATTGTTTTGAGAAAATTTTAATTAGGTGAAAACCGTGGGAATAGTTGAGTCAGTTTTCACCAGCTTGTGCCAATATGACATATCCAATAAATTTATTCTTTGGGGAATTTACCTGCCTCGGAGTTTTGTTTGCTGCGGGTATGTTACTTGAAACCCTGACAGTAATCCTTTTAGGAAAAGGATTTGACGATCAGGACTTGCTATTCTAGTAGCTTTGCTAAGCCAAAGTTTCTCCTTAAATACCAGCAGTTTCCAACCCTGCCCAAACACAGCTGATCTTGATCAGGTGTGGCTGAATCTGCCTATGAATCTATGCATTGCTACTCTTTCTTGAGACAACTTAACACATTTCCTGAAGGGCTGGGTGGAGATGGCTTCTACATTTGCTGGCTCCAGGTCAGGAATGATGAGGCTGGTTGATGGCTCAGAATCATTGCCACATAAGTTCTGCTTCTGAGGTTGCCTTCTTGTTAGGCTCTTCCCATTTGAGACGATTGTTGAAACTAAAATGTGGCACACCCAAATTTTGCTCCTCTTATCAGGAGTAATCATTTTCTTTAGTGATGTTGTCATCTTATTAAGTTGGAAAGTGCATATCTTCTTGCCTTCATTGTTTATAAATACAAAGTACTACTTTATTTATACGTCCTGCTTTTTCTTCCTAAATGGTTGGAAACATTACTTTCATACTCTTATTTATCACCTGGACAGTGCAACCAGTTTGCTTGGAACATTGTGTAGCCTTGGCCTTCTAAAGCTCATCTAGTAATTATCTTTTACTTCAGTGTTTCTTAAATGGAAAAGAAATGACAACTCTCATGTTTTACTCTCAACTATGCTCCTTCTGATGTACTCACTTCACAAGATAGCTGCTTTCCTCCAAAATTTTCATTTCAGGACTCTGCTGAGTGGCCATATGATCTCTACTAAGCACTTTATGCTGGATTTGTGTTTGCAGAAAACTCTTATCTTTTGGAAGGACCATAGTCTCTCCTCTCCTCAAAGATGACAAACAAATCCAATTCCAGATAAAGTGCTTCTTGTTTATGGATGTATTTACAAAGAATAATTAGTAATTCCATGCCCGCAATTGTTGGTGTGGTTTTTTGTAAGTTCAGAATACTTTGTCTTGCTTGGTCTTGAGTGACATTGCTTTGGATTTGTTGTGTAATTTTTTATTGATTCTTCTTGAGTTCATGATTCTTTTAATAACCATTTCTAAATTTATAATTTGTCTGTCATTAGTGTTATTCTTTCTCTGCATATTGTTTGAGGTGTGTGAGTTTTAGTGTTCTTTTGCTCATAACAATTTGCCAGGGCCTTTTTCTTTCCTTTAAAATACTTGTTATGACTAAATTTAAAGTTATACTGTCATCTCTGCTTTATATTTTTAATGTTATTTTGATTCAATGTAATTAAATAAATAAAATAGTCAAAGCAAATTGTCAACTTCAGTCATTACAGATAGTTCTCAAATTATGACTACAATTGAGCCCAAAATTGCTGTTACTAAGCAAGACCGTTGTTAAGTGCATTTTGCCCCATTTTATGACCTTTCTTGCCACAGTTGTGAAGTGAATCAATGCAGTTGTTAAGTTAGTAACACAGTTGTTAAGTGAATCTGGCTTCCCCACTGATTTTACTTGACAGAAGGTCACAAAATATGACCACATGACCCTGGGACACAACAATAGTCATAAATACGAATCAGCTGCCAAGCTGATGAAATTGGGTCACAATAAAAAAGACATATACATATCAATCTTTCAACAATCTTGTTTCCTTTACAGGTAAAAAGTTACAGAAGTGTAGTCAATAGCTGAATACAGTGAGATTGAAATTAAATTAACTGAATTTTCCTCTTTTTTTAGTAATTAAAACTGGCACTAGCAATTACATTGTTTATTATTGTGGTCATTGTTACAATTCCATATTTTTTATTGCAGTAAAATAAAATAATCCTTATTAAGATTTATTTTAAAATACTTTGTAGGGAAAGAGTTCTGTTAGTCTATGATAGCAAATAAATAAATAAATAAATCAGGAGTCTGGTACTTCCTTTTCCAACTAACATTATTAAAAACGTGACTTTCAATTAATCAGATTTAAAACACAGCAATGGTTGATGTTGTGCCACATGGTGGGGCTATATTATCAAATTTTTAGGACTTGTTTCCATGTAATCCTGATGTATTTTATTAGATTAATAAACTCTCCTTTACTGGTTAACAGATGAAATTTTCTTCCCATTTCAAGGCAGGTTTATTTTCCTACATCCTTTCTGATATTGTTTTAATTATTATAGCAAACCTTATTGCAAATATTCTGAAGGCTTTTTCGTGCACTCAAGGTTGAAATTGAAGTTAGAAATTTCAAATTGATCCACAGCATGGCTAATATAAGGTGGACCTCTTATGGCATAACCCCATGAGGGGAAGTCCAACATTAAACCCTGAGGATAATAGCATATATCTATACCGTTTCCAAAAACAGTAAATTTAGGAATGGGATTGGAAGACATTTCTTTAACCAATGGGGGATAGCAAGAGTTTTTACCAGTGTATCTGGAATGTTAGTGTAATATTTGGTTCCCAAGATCTGTTCTCAATGCTGAACTTGCAATCAGTTGCCTCATTTATCAATTTCCTGCTGTTTTATCCAATTCCATTAATTAGAGAGGTCTATTAAAAAATGTAGAGGGCAAGGTTAATTACAAAGCAGAACAGATTGTTGACCTCCAGCAGGAAATGGAGAATTTTACTTGGCAGTGGATGAAATCAGGGAAGAAACAATTGAAATAAGATGTGATTTAGCATGAAATTTGTTTCCATTTTACATTGGCAGTATGATGAGCAACACATTTAAGGCTCGGGTGACAGCTTTATAATAATTTTTTTATAAAAATTCAGAACAGTGATGATTTTATTTATTTTCCTTATTTAAACACTCAAAACAACTTATCAAATATACATAAAGCACAATTGCAGAATCTAATTTAATGTAATAAAGGAAGAACATGGTCCAATATTTCACCAAATATGGTGAAACATGAATAAAACTCAGTCAATAAAATTGAAATGTCTTAATATGTTGGAGCTCAACTGAGAGGAAGCTGATTGAGCCTCGGCAGGTTTGTAATTCCATAAATGAGAGTTACCAACAAGACCCTCCTTTGCATTATGATCTCGTCCATTTCCACTTATAAGTGTTCATTTCATCATTTTACACTTCCAGAATAATGAAATTAATAGTTAATTTCTTTTCAACGTTTTTCTGAGATGTCCAATAAATATGAAAAAGTGTTGAAATAATCTTATTTTTAACATTTCATGTTATGAAGCATATAATGTTCTCTACAACTCTTACACATTTATTTACTTCTTGGGAATTCTAACTTTGTATAACAAAATCCTTGCAGAAATTTACATTCCTTGATTATCTGTACAAAATTCTGTAGATTTCATAAATAATCATTTGCCACTGCTTTATAAAACCAGATTGCAATGGATGGATGGTCAAAAGTCTCTGGTCTATGTGCTGACCTTTTTAAATATAGTCAAACGGAACCTGGATTGCAGAGCAGATGGTTTAATATTAATGTGATTGTGAAACTAATAATGTAATTAGAAAGAAAATAATATAGATATACATTCTATGCTTTCAAAAACTTTTGAATGTCAGGATATTAGCATGATGTAAAATAATGCTGAACAAGAAAGACATAGAAAATCTGCAGATTTCTGATATTATATTTCATATTGACAATCTATTTTGTAGTCATATTAACAATTCAGGTTATTTACCAATATCCACAATGCATTGGAGATTATTAAGATTTTTAATGTTATTAAGAATTATATTATCAACTTTAACATCATTATTAATAAATAGATAATTTTCTCACAGTAAGCCAGATGTTCAGACTGCATTTGGCATTTTTATCCACCTATCAAGTCCTTCCCAAGGATCTGGGATAGACAGATGTTGGTATTTTGTGGCATTAGAGATATCATCATAGGATGTAAGCTGTTCTCTGTAAAGCTAACTTTTGCAATTGACTGATAGTAAATTTGTCAATGCCGGTGGTGCTCCAGTTGTTTTGGGATTGCACCCAAAACAACCATTGGTCTATGACTATTGGTATAATCTTTGCTTTCTTTTGTCACAGTCTATTTGGAGGACTATTCTCCAAATTGTTATCTTCTCCAGTTTTTACTCTTTATTCTGCTATCTTAAGGTACTGCCTCATCCACTAGCCAGACTATTGTGGTCCACCGGCAGCCAGCAGAGCTGGAAGCAAAGTTGGACAATGAGGAGGTTGGGGAGGAACATGGGTCAATCCTGGGGTTTTAGGAAAGCTCAGAAGAGGGCTCTGCATCAGAAGCAGAGAGGGAGTTAGACAGCACCGAGGCAGAAGAACAGCTGGAGCCTGTTCCCAGTGTGTGCATGTGCAGAGCTGCCAGAAGACAAGAACAACTAAGAAAGCAGAGTTGACTTAACAGTAAAGCCACACCTTAGAAGTGATTGGGCCCTCCCATAGGAAACAAAAGAGGAGCGAACAGAGAGAGGGCTTTTGCAGGAAAGCATAAGTTCATTCGGTCGTGTCAAGAGAGAAAAGTTCTGTTTGTAACTATAAGAGTCTCTGTGCCAAATTTTACCTTGCCCTGTGTTTGGAACAGAGGTGGGTTCCTTTTTTTATTTTTTTTATTTTTGAATAAACACAAACAGACAAAACACAAAAAAACCCCACAAAACCATCTTCCATTACAAATTGTAGAAAGTGTGTCGATCAGTTACAAAAACTTCTGTGCATCCCTTCCACAGTCATCACCTACAATTCATATATTTTAAATCAAATATTTTTATATATATTACTATCATCATACCTCAACTTTCATTTGACTATAATTGTTTTTACATTCATTTTATATAAAATATTCCAGATTTAAAGCAAAACCACATAATGGCATTCCATTAGCTCTTCCCAATATCATCCAGTAACATTATATCTTTATGACATGTTTTAAATAAAAATTGGTTATATTTAATAACAGAGTTTCTAAACCTCCTTTTCCTCTTATCAAACATATATATGTATCCATTATCACTTCATTTTATACGTAATGCTATGTAAATATTG